GCACTACCTAGGTATGCAGCATTGCGGCGTGGTTGCCCACACAGTTAGGCTACCGCGACCAGGCCCGCGAGCAGAGGCCCACGGCTATTATTATCAAATCTGGCCAATGAGACGACAGCACGACAGGGTTTGCGATCCTCCTGGGCGTAATGCCACGAGAGAATTTGACGGAGTCGCATCCTTCTGGACCCTAGTGAACCGTTATTATTAGATTGTGGTATAGTCCACGGCGATTGATGCGGGGTTTTTAGACCGATTGGGTCATTCAAAAGGGCATGCATCGCGTATTGTCGCGTGAAGCGCTTGGTATCATTTATCAGCAAGCGGCCATTGTCAGCCTTACTTCGTAGCTACTTGCATTTGCGCGAATGAGAGTCGCATGATAGGATTACAGTTTTGTTGATAGTTGTGTTATCGTATAGGCGACCAAATACACTGATGGTGTTACTCAGAAATTTCGCCAAAGGTTCTGGACGAAGCCTTGCTTCACTCGCGGCTCGGTGTGCGGTTCCGTCTGCACGTATTCGTCCTTCATATCCAAGTCCTTCCTCATTCCCGTGTCAAGATCAACCTCGTGGCTTCGCCTGAAACTCGTCTTGAATATGACCTTGTATCCCACAAACATGATCCCGAATACCGGCAACATAATATAAGCGTCGACAAATGTGCCTGCATCAAATGGGCTCAGCGTGGTCCAGCCCTGAACAAGAGCGAGGAATATGTTGGCTGATACTCCAAAGTAGGCATTCCACGGGTAAGCGAGTGACTTGAAAGGTAACATGTCGGGCGTTCGACCTTGTGCTTTCCAAGCTTTCCGGAAGCGAATGTGCGTAAAGGAGATAGAACCCCAAACCAGGAAGGTAGAGACACCGCTCAAATTGACGATGTAGGAATACGCCTGGCCACCTCCAGTGCTGACGTTCATCATAGATATCGCACCGAACAGGTTCGTGAAAACAATGGCGTAGATTGGGACTCCCCGGCTGTTCGTCCTCCCAAGGAACTTCGGCGCCATTTTCTCTTGTGCCATGAAGAGTATCGTTCGAGACCCAATGTAAATTGAGCTGTTCGCAGCGCTCAGGACTGTGATAAAGATGAACGCATTGATCAAATGCACGCCTCCTTGCCATCCAGCGTTTTGGATCGCTATGGTCATGGGGCTCTTAAGTGCGCGGCTGGCTCCGTTCGCTAGGCCGTCCGCATCCGAAGGGCATGTGAGCCCAAAGAAGAAGGCAACTCCGATGTATACGAAGAGAATTCGCCAAATGACTTGTCGAATTGCCAGAGGTACAGCTACCGATGGGTTTCTGGTCTCTGTAGCGGCCACAGCAACCGCCTCGACGCCGGCGTAAAACGTCGAAGCGAAAACGAAGACTCTGGCTACTCCGCGGAAGCCGTCTACCCAGGGACCGGGGTCGTTCCAGTACCGAAATCCGAGTGCCTCATCTTGCCCGATGAGACCGCCAGAAGCATAGATGATGGCAAAGATGAAATAGGCGCAAAGACCCGCAAGCTTGATCAGGGCAAGCCAGAACTCCGCTTCGCCGAAAGACTCGACGCCCAACATCTGGAAGCCTAGGAATGCAAACCAGAAGATTAGAAAGTAGCCCCATAGAGGCACCTCAGGACCCCAAAAGACCAGAATAGAGGAGATGACATTGTACTCGTTGGCTAGCACACATGCCCACACCAGCCAGTACTGCCATCCCACCGCTACTCCGAATGCTTTGTCGACAAATCGGTCGGAGAGCGTGACGAAAGCACCACCAGTAGGGTACAGAGTTGTCATCTCTCCCAAGGATTGCGTAATGCTGAAAGCGATGAATCCGATAACGCTGAAAGCTATAAGCAGAGATGCCGGTCCTCCTTCTGCGAGGGCGCCACCAGTACCGACCAGAATACCAGGCCCAATGATTCCAGCGAGCGCCATCATGGACAGATGACGAGTTTTGAGGCCTCGCTTGACTCCACTGGGATCCATTCGTTGGAAGTCATCGTCGCTATAGTTTGCCGTGGGCGACGGGTGCTCGGCGTGAGCTTTCGAATCAAGGAGGGCCATGTCGAACCGGAAGATGGTGGTCAGAGAGACAGACGCATAGAACTAGGCATACCACCGTTATAAGCGACTTCCTAGTTTTTACTTGGCGTGGGAACGGTAGATCTGTGACGAATAATAGCGTACTATGGCTTGGTGCATGTTGCGATTTTTACTGTGGATTGCGCGATGACAGGGTCTGATAGTTTCGTAGCATTCTGACGAAGAGCGACCATGAGTAGAATCGCTTCAACGCTGGAGGGCTACATATCGTCCCAACTTTGTACTGTTTGTTGCCGTGTTGATTGATGGCGTCAGAGTAGGATAACAACCGGGTGGCGGGGGCAGAATAGCAGTTGCGATAAGCTTGGTCCACCTTAGGCTTAGCTTAGTGGGTTTTCGATCCTTCACCTTGGCGGCACTTCATCCGGTAAACCGCCACTCTTAAATCCATTAATCCCGACGTCAGCAACCACCGGACTTGTGCAAGAAGGACGCATGTTTCTTTTCTTATGAAGCATTCATTGCGATTCGTTATACTCTACAATACTCATTATCCATATGTACCCGATTTCCATCATCGATCGTTGGCGCTGAACCAGCCAGTCCATGTATTAACATTGGGGTAGAGTGTTCATCACATCCGCCTTAGTTCTTGTTACCAATCTCCATGCGCTTCTTGAGCTTGTAAGCGATGGCGCGCTTCCTTGCGGCGGCGCCCTGTGTGAAAGCAACAGATCCGCCGAAGGGACCCGCGGCAGCACCGTTGCGGACGCGCATGACGCAGACGTTGTTGACACCAGCAACAGTAGCGTCGCAAGTCATACCAGCCGGCATCTGTACCTTCATAGCAAACTCGGTGTTGGTGGCGAGCGAGATACCCTGAACACCGAGGCCAGGAACGTCCTGGGTGACGGTAGCAGGCTGCATAGCGGCCTCGTCAGTACCGCCTGAGGTACCGTCAACGTCGGCAGTGAATGGTCCAGCACCGTCCTGGTTGATCTGAAAAGAATGAGTTAGAAATGTATGGAAATGAGTACGAGTGATCGCTTACCTGGCGCAGAGTCATTGTGACGGTACCATCGTCAGCGCAAGTGGGCATGCCACTTGTGGCACCCGCTCCTACTGCGGCAGCAACGCGTGACTCTGGTGGGCCGTTGACCTTGTCACCACCTCCACCTAGCAGTCCAGCAATACCAGTAGCACCGGCCTTGCCGCCAGCACCACCAGCACCACCAGCGCCTCCACCAAGAAGACCGCTGAGGAATTGACGCTTCCTCTGGCCAGCCTGCTGGATGTTGTCCTCGACACCAACACTTCCAGAAGCACCGTTGTTCGCAGGAGGCGCGGCACCCTGTCCCATGAAGGCACCAACCATAACGGCAGCATCAACGTTGCCGTTACCTTGTGTGCGACCAAGAGGACCAGTCTTGCCACTGGAGATTTCGCGGTCCCTGATGATGGCAGTGTCGGCTTGAGAACCGCAGCCGCTGAAGATTGGTTAGTAACTTGTTTCAAGAATAGAAGGTTGAGAGACCTACTTGGAGGAGCAGTCGCGAGGGGTTCCGTCTTGGATAGTCAAGCCAGGCATGGTGACTCCGTTGGCACCCTTGATCTCAGAGACCACACCGTGAGCAGAAACGGCAGCCGCAAGGGCGAGGACGAGAGCTGGTGAGAAGTGCATGTTGTATATGTGTATATGGTATCGAGATCAACTCGGTGGATTAAAATATATGGGTGGTTTGAAAGTAAAGGTGAAAAGCGAGAAGCACCAGGCTAATGGAGAATGAAGTATTAGTAGAGGAGTTGAAGAGTTGAATGCTGATGATGATCGTAGAGCCGGCTTCAACAAGGCATCTTATACCTCTTTCCCATTGTGCTGCATTGTCGATCTACATCGCATCGTATCCTCCATTGGGATGACAGCCGCCCACCGCTCCACTCAGCTCGTCATTGGCATGTACAATTCAGTATGGACACAGGCAGGCTCTTGTGTCAAGATGCGTTTTCGAAGGTCTTCCGGCAAGGCTAAACGTGCTTGGCAGCAGTGAGGCGTTTCCCTCCCATACTTGGCTGTGGCGGAGTGCCGATTACCCAGGCGCTGAGAGGTGTCAACGTTCCGATACTCAGTTTCGTCTGCGCCTGGGGATGAAGGCTAAAGGCGCCAAGGCGGAAACTCTCAATGCAAGATCGTGGATTTGCGAAACGCTGTCTTTAGAGTTGCAGAATCCCACTAAACAAGCAAACGCATGTATGTTTCACATAATGCCACCATCACATTATTGACCTATCAGAATATTCAACTCACATCAAACTTACTCCATGGTGAAGGTCACAATCAGTATTGACGAGTTACTCATGTATGAGCTTCTGTCGTAGCGCTGATCGCACCGTGGTGTTGTTCTTGCGGCGCGCACCAAAACGAGCAACTCCACCCCGCGCGCATGACAAGTCACACCAAACACGGTTGATTCCGAACATGCAAAACCACACACTCAAATCATCGGTTTCCAATCACTCGCAATTATCCTGTTCAGCATCAGCGTAGGCGAATACTAGTTGCCGTGATCCACCCGCAGCTGCATGATGTTGCAGGCCCGTCGCCACTAGCGTTTCACCAAACGACACGGTCGATCTTCAAACATGAAATGCCTGGTCCCTCAAACTCGTGCCCTGGTATGATATGCGACGGATCCTGTGATCCGAGGCTGGGGTGGGGATTCTGAATGTGGCTGCGGTGGTTGGTAAGTGGATGGGTCGAGGTGTTGATGAAGTGGAGTGGCCGAAATGGGGCAGGCGGCGCGAAAAGCTCGCTTGAAAGCTATGTTCGGACATTGGAACATCTATTCGGCGCTGCTCACTATGGTCTCACTACGTGCCCAGGCAGTCATAAGTGTGCTATGTTCAATTGCATGTCGTATCACTCGACAACCCTCTTTCATATCGTCCGGAAGATCAGTAGTAGCTACACCGAACCGACGACAATGGCTTCGCTAGTGATCATCCAGCTGGCCACAACGAAACCACTCTGCAAGTCTTTTGCGAGAACTGACCAGATGATTCCGATGATAGCACTAACAAGAACGCTGATCAGAATAACGATGCAAACGCGGTTCGAATATCCTTCCTCTAGCTGTAAGCCCCAGCCTATACCAAGATCCGGAGCATCGCTATGATTCCATGGTACCGGGCGGTCTACGCGTTTGGGAATGCGCTCGAAGCATACCGTGTCCTCCATACAGTCCTCCTCTACCGAGCACGTGAATCGATGCATGAGGAAATCGTTGTCCAAGATAGGCTCGTAATCTGGGGGATTGGGCTCGAAAGCATAATGCTGTTCTGTCACCGATGGCACGCCGTACCTCAGATTGTCGACTTCATTGCGTCGCCAGAGTTTGAACTGCGCACATTGTTAGCTATGGTATCACTATTGCAGCTGCTTCTCACCTGTACAAACTTGATCTTCTGTACAGTCTGCAGACTAAACATGTGATGAGTCCATGAGAACCTTTCAGCATATGCTTTGCGAAGCGCTTGGAAGAGCTCACGATCTCGAGTAATCACATCCAATCGCAGGTCGTGACGAAGCTTCAGATATGTTCCCACTTTGAAGCAAACGTGAATGAAATCTCTACATGAAGGAATTGTAACGTTGGACGTATTCGTCGAACTTCCTGCTGCCATTTGCGACGAAGCCACTGGAACACTTTGAAGCGGTACTGATGTACCAGAGGAGTATGTACTTTGGTTTGTAGTGCCTTGAGTTTGCGCAGGAGCTCTGCTGGAAGACGCTCTCGAATCCGCGCTGCTACTAGTGTTTGACACAAGCACCGGGGTCCTGCCCGGCCCACCCAAGGCAGATACGGCAGATACTCTTGTTGTTGTTGTATAGAGTGTGGCGATCCAATGTTGTTTACATAAGTTTCTTATCCTCACTTGCAGCCACAGTATAGCTGTTTGAAAGAAACTGTACCAGATATCGAAGGGATTCCACGGCTCGAGGGTAACAGTGTATCCTCCAACCCGAAGTTTCGTGGCAAGCTCGTCTATCGCGCCGGGTTTGTATTCCATATAGTGGCCGAATCCTTCGAACCCACACACCTGTCTCTTATCAGCGATGATCTTTTTGATGTCGTCCCAAGATGCGCGTGTGCCACAACACAAGAGAGATGACAGAGGAGGGGAGATCGGCCCACCTAAATATCGCAATGTCGCATCCTCATTTTGTGGCAGACGCAGGAGAAATCAGATGGGAGGTTACTCACACATGTCCAGTACATACGAAAGCATCGAACTGGTCGCGATAGATCAGACTTCTGAACCAGCGTTTTGTCTGCGATCTTTCCCAATAGGTGAGTTCCAGGATCTTTCACTACCTCAAACGGCCTTTTCGTCCGCTCATTGTCCATGACACTCTGATTTGGAGTGACTGCCTTCAGAGATGATGGTTTAATCATCTCAAACGGTATTTCGAAGTTAAGAAGGCGCATTTCACCCTCAACTACGATATCCGCAATCTTTCCTGACATAAAGCCACAGACGTAGCATGGCCCAACGATTTCGTATCGCGACTCTCCATCATTTGCAAGTCGAGCTACGAGGGGAAAACTGCATTGTAGAGTGAAGCAAATCACTACTCATTGATCAGTGGAAGAGAATGCGATGCCAGCCAGGGGCAGGATTACAGTCACCTGTTTCCATGCTAGCAGGACCCAGGCCGTTGACGACCCGCCTTTTGCTTTTGAATAGTCTTCGCCCTTTTGTCAGAGCCCGCAGCTTTTCGAAATCCGCAGCACATTCCGAGAGCGATGATAACCGTCTGGAGTAGTTTTCTTCGTCATCTTCTTCATCTGCTACTTTCTTGATGTAGCGACCGAGCTCCATGCAATGCTCCATATCTACGTCGCCACTCCCGGCCAGCAAGGTATGAATGAATTGTGGTACATCATTCATAGACTTCATAGACAGCCAGGATTTAGGAAACGGCGTATTCCATTTGTCATGAACATCAGTGACGGTATCCACCTCATCGAAGAGGTGACCGCTGCTGACCAATGCGATGAATGCATGGATTGCAGTCAGAAACAGTGTCCAGTCTAGTGACTCGATTCCATGGAGGACGGTGGCATGACGTGCCATTGAGAGTTCGTGAATCCAGTTACCTGCGAACCATTGATGCATCAACAACTCTTCGACTGATTTCCACCCTGCCACGAAAGCATCGCTGGTAAGCTCATCGTGGATTTTGGTGGCTTTTGCGACCTTATACAAAAACTCGAGTGCCCCTGCTGAATCCTCGGACTCTTCGTCCAGCCAGACCAGCACCCTCTCTGCACTTCGGAAGATCTGTGAAATTTTCGGAACTTGGTGGCTGCGCTCCATGCTGTCAAATGGACTGATACAGATTGGTTCAATCCAGATGCGTCGTTCTTCTTGTTTTCGGATTCTCTTGAGGGCGAACTCCAGCTTGAACCATATCGGTAGGCCAGTGCCGTCTATGAATATAGAACTTTGACGGGGATCGTCCGGCGCGCCCCAACAGTATGAGATGACCTCATAGCCTCCGTCATCATGCTCAATACTCAGTGTCTCTTGGGAAACCAGCTTTCGTCGTTCTATTCGGCCTTGAAGCGGGGCATTGTAATCCTTCGATGGAAGCAGGACAAGTATGTGAATCTCGTCTTCCTGTAAGGGCTCCCAGGTAATCAGATCGGGTAGTTCCTCGTCTTTCATCGTGCTTTCTGGCGACTTCCTTTGCAGTGGTAAAGTGAAGTGGCAGAAGTCAGCTCAAAGATGCCAGAGCCGGCCAAGTCGAAATCGCGGCTGAGATCAGTTTAGGCGCCAGCGCAGCTGGTGGCGTTCACGCCATGCAATGCCAACAAATGCCATCGCCGTATACACAAGCTGCATGCGAACCGGTGAGTTCACCTGTCATAAGCGGTTAATAATTCGCTGGAAGTCAGCAGTGCCGAACCTCCAATATGCGAGGACAGTCGCAGGACGTCCAGTAGAAGGCGACCCATACAAGATAATACTACGATTTTTCCTACGTAGACAGTACATCTAACGCCATGCGCAACCCCTCACTTCTGCGATAAACTCCGCTAAATGGTATATACCCGATACTCATTACCACATTAGTTTTCCCGTGCCAACCGTTTTGTACCCAGCCGAACTCAAAAATCCTGACTTTTACTCCAATCCCGTGCCCCTCCTCCCCAAACTCGGTCTCCCCCCACTAACACTTTCCCTGTGTATCCTCGGCCCACCTCCACCATGCATCATATCCAGATCAACAGGCGTCCCCGCGCCCAGCGCAAAACCATATGCCTCAGCGCCCTGCCCTGCGAAGACTCCATCGTCGCCTAGACTATGCTGTGGTGGCGGCTCCACGTTGAACGGCACAAAGTAACTGCTCATCGGATCGAAGAAGTTGTTGTTGTTCGCATTGTTGCCCAGGCCCATGGCTTCGAGGTTCCAGAAAGAGTTGTTGAAGTCGGTGGCTAGATCGGGGAAGGGGGAGAGATTCGTGGGGTCCATTTGGTGGGCGTGTGAGGGGTGGATCATCGTTGGTGAGGTGTTGATGAGGGGAAGCGATGGGTGGTGAGGGTGCTGTTGGTGCGCGTGGTGGGAACCTGCGAAGTCGGCGAGGAATTGTTGGGGTGAGGCGTGTTGTTGCTGTTGTTGGGCGAAGAGAGCAGCGGGGTCGTAGCCGGCGGCGATGGCGGCATCGATTGCGTCTTGCGAGGCCATGTTGATGTTCATTTGCTGCTGCGCATGCAGTCGAGCGGCATGGTTTTGCTGAGATTGGCTGTTGTGCCGTTGTAAGCGTGGCAGATCTTGTTGGTTTGCGGAAGCGAGATCAGCAGGTTTTGAGATCGACTTCGACTTGTTCTTGCGCGCTTGTTTGCGTTGCTGATCGGTTTTCGACGGTGGAGATAGCGATGCGAAGAACTCTTCCACGCTTTGCAGGTCGCTCTTGTGCCCCAGAACAGCATCAGTACCTGGCTCATTCGGATTCGACTCAGCTGCGTCTTCGTAGTCTGTTTTCGAAACACCGTGCGGGTATCTGTCGAACCAATCACCATATTGAAAAATACTGCCCTTCTTCTTTTCGCCGCTCGCATTCGGCCCCTTCAGCTGCGCATCGGCGTGCTGACGATACAGCTCCTTCAAGTTTTCCGCGATATAATGGAACATGCCCCAGTACTTCTTCATCTTTGTCAGGTATTTGACGTTGTATGCCAGGTACTTTTTCGATTGCGCTTCGAGCTTCGGGTTCTTCGAGAAGACCCCATGGACGTGTACGGTCGAGGAGAAGAAGGCGGAGTAGCCGGCGAAGGGTGCGACGACGTTGTGGTCCATAGCTTCGTTGATGAGCATCGAGATCTGGTTTGCGGCATCGAGCGCGGAGCGGGCGGACTCTGTGAGGAAGTCATGCGGCATGTCTTTCGGTGGTCTGCTGCCTGCAGTCGAAGGTAGCGCGAACCTGTGCATGAACAGCATAATTTGTTGCCATAAGATGTGAAGATACAAGAACGAGTTCGCAGTCTTGCCAATCGCATGGCTTTTCAAGTTCTCAGGATTGTAGACAAGCATCTCCGGCAATGCCGCCTTGAACTCTTTCGCCTCTTTTTTGATAGCGTTGTAGGTCGAATCGGCCGACCACATAGGCTCTGCTTCGCGTTCCTTTCCTCCCAGATTCATGTACTTGATGAGTTTGCCCCATATGCAGACCAATCGTATTGTGTATGCCGAGACGCCCATGTTATCGCGCGGGTTCGCCAGTTGACCGCTGTCAGGTGGAACGGGGTTTGGCACGTCGCCTTCTAAGTTCTCGGTGGGCGCGTGTATCTCGTGTACGTATAGATGCTCCTTGACTGGTAATTGCACTTCGATGTACTGCTCGTGTACGAAGAGTGGTCGGTCGGTACCGGAGGAGTTGAAGCGGTCCATCAGGAAGCAAGACCACATGGTCCGCCGCCGTATTTCGCGATCAGTAGCGCTCAGGGGTTTCCTGTCTGGCTCGTTGACCAGCGGATCGTACTCGTTCTCCTTATGCAGTTGCAGTGCGTATGCCATCCTCTGCGCCATACCGCCAAACATCCAACTCCGTCCGCCTTGACATGTGCCAAACTCATGAAGCCCTAGTAGCAGGTAGACTATCAAGATGGTGATGTTCGGTGCGTCGTATCGTTTCAGGGCAATCTCGCGCGCTCGTTCAGCCCAGCTGTCGCCCCGTAAGAAGCATGGCTCTGTCCGTAGTTGTGGGTGGTTCGAGAATCGTGCCGATATGGCGCACATTGCTAGTATCAGTACCGGCGGAACCTTCCCAGCTGCTAGTCTTCGCATAAAGCTCGGCTTGTGCAGGAGCGGGTAACTTTGTCCGTAGACAAAGTCGAAGTACACCTCAGCCAAGTGTTCTTGGATCTCTTTCGACGGCAAGCTCTCGGCGCCTTCCGTAAGAAGCTTGTTCTCATCTGATTCCTTCCCATGCGATGTCGATCCAGCCGTTTCTGGATCTCCTCCTTTTGCTTTCGACCATTCGTCCAACTCGTTGCCAAAGGCTTCCTCTGCGGCGCGTTTCTTGGTGGTGGGTGTTTTGGGTGGGGCGCCGGGGATAGCGGGCTTAACGACGGATCTGCCCACATTCGCAACGGAAGGCAAGCTTTCCTTTGGTATCAGCTTGATGACACGATCTTCCATGCGCTTGAGCCTCTTGTCCAGCATCGCCATGTAGTCTGTTCTCGGTGCAGCCTTCCTAGTGGTGACCTTGTAGACACACGGTATCCGGCTCCGCAGGCAGTGTTTGCATGCTGGCTTCTCGCCAGAGCAGCGAATCTTCTTCCTTCGACATGCGATGCAAGCGAGAGGCAGTCGTTTCCTCTCCTTACCAGCCTTGGTCTTCATCTCGCTCCAAAGTGGCGGATCTTGCGCATCGTCCTTGCTCCTTCGCGATGTAGTCGAATGGTTTGTGCCGTCATTGCCGCTGTTCATGGCATGCGCCGAAGCATCATTCATCGACTCGCCAATTGCGAGCATACCCATGGCAGGTGCGCTCTCGGGGCTGGTGTTGTTTCCGTCGCGGCCGGGGCTTCCTCCAATGCTCATCCGATTTGGATGCGCACTCCCGCCACCACTCATACCCTCTTCGCTCATGTTGCCGACACTGCCTCTGTGGTCCGCATATCCAGCCTCAATCTTTGGTTGTATGCCATCGAAATTGGACGCGAATCCTTGGCTCTGCGCAAACGTCATGTCGAAGTCGGAAAACGAGCCCATAATGTTGGACGGACTAGTCCCAGTCGCATTTGGAGAGGCTCGAAGTTCAGGCAGGCCGAATTCAGCCAGCAGGAGCGAGTCGTCGTTGTCGAAGCGCGCGTGGGAGGGCGTGGCTATGGAGGTTGCGGTTGCGCCGGAGTCGGCCATGTTTTCGACGACTGCCTGCCGTCGTTCGTGGAGCTGTCGCGTAACGCCGAGGCAGTCAGTCTTACATCAGGTTCCAAACTTCAAGATCAGAAGAAGAAATATTTCATATGCGCCTGCACCCAAGGCCCCAAAACAACATAGCAGGCAGAATCAGGCGTCGAGACGTCCAAACGTCGTGTGCTTGGATCGGAACGCCGGCCGAAGAAGGGGAAATGGTAAGCTCCGACTTCTCCACAGGATAGTTACGGCCCTTGCTTGGAGTCCAGTGGGGGCGCTAGTCTCTATATCAAAGCGCGAGTTGGGTATGTGGGGAGGTGGATTGAGCGTCAGCACGCGCGACTGGAGCAGAGAAGCAGCACGCAGCCAGGCCGACACAACTCGGGGCTGGATGAGACAAGAAACGAGGTATGACGACGGTGGGTGATGTATGAAAGCCTTCCAAGAGGTGCTTGCTGCGGCCTATCCCTCCGCCTATACTATGGCTGCATTTCCCATGCCGCCTGTACAAGGGACGGAAGCATGGCCATGTAGTGGCGCCCTTGCGATTCGTACGCTTGCCTCCCGTCGACGTCCGATTAAACCGCGATCAAACTCGTCGGCCCACTCAAGTCACTGGCCGCACGTTGGCCGATGCAAGCCACACAATCCTGCCCTTCCCCACATGGCAATCCTTGCACGTCGAGACCCGGTGCTGATTATTCAGACATCACAAAGCAGTTTCCAGTGCCACCAAGCCTCGAGCGGACCATGATCGCCGCCCAGGCTGTACGCTGCCTATCCTCATACATCGCTGTAAGGCGCCTCATATGCACATATATGATGTATAACTCTACACCGGCTCTGCACATCACGAGCGCATCTCCGTAGAGCCCGGTGCGCTGTGGCTGGCGAGCCTGACGGCGGGACCCGTCGTGTGCCAGGTGGTCGCTATGCTGCGGGGCGCCCGCCCTGTTCAACGTTGCGACACGTTAGACGCACGCGAGGTATATGAGCTCTACATTGCGCTTCTATATAACCCATATGTCTTATTTTCCGATTCGACCACTTGCGTCCAATCTCCGGCTTCGCCCTTTCGCGCGAGACTGTGCGCCGGTCGCTTAAGCCTGGTGCCACGATGTTGCCTACAAACATGGGCGGCGGGTGCATCACGAGGGTAGTGCACAACCATCACCATCTAACTTGGCCAAGTGGACCATTTGCAAAGTAGGAAATGCGACTACCACCGGAAGAATGCGTTTCAATATTTGCGGCGCATACATACACGTTCGTTGTTAGGACCAGAGGTAGGCATCTGTGGGCTTTTC